AGTTTATCATTTATGAATGGAATATTTTATGGAGAGATATTGCCCGATTTAGTTCCCTATAAAGAGTTGTGTATCCATCTTGATCAAATAAGCACGACTGATAATATTCAACTAGAAAGTCCTTCAACTCTGCTCAGAAGTGTTCCAGTGAAAAATGAAAAATATAATAGCGGTAGAACGGAATCTTTCTCATCACTACAATACAAAAAATTAAAGCGGGGAATTATTTCAGACCTCAAAATTTCTGTATTAGATGTAAAACATCAACCTGTACATATAGGATACTTAAGCGTAACACTCCATATTATAAATAATGGTTGATGCATCAGGCCCTGGAACAGTAAGACAATGTAATACAATTGCGCTTTCCGATCTCGGAGACACGGAAGGATTTGGTAAACCTGGTACTGATGGTAAGTTATACGCTTTACACTTACACGATAATGTATACAAGCGGAAAGAAGTCACATTCACGGGTAATCTAGAAGATTTAAGCGATGTCGATGTAAGTAGACTCCTTAAAAACACTTCGTACAATATTACTCACAACGACGATAATAAATGGACTATGATCAAAGCAAACATCGAGTGGCTACTGAATATCGTCATTACCCCACCTTATGTGATGATGGGTAAGAGACATAATTTAATTAAGATAATAAATAGTGGCATCGTACTCGCGGCTTATATCCCATCAAAACGAAAAAGTGTGTTAGTTACCCCCCTGTCAGAAAACCCAGGTCATATGATATATAGTCGTCCGGCCTTAAAAAATGTTTAAATTTGGTTACTGAATTTGAAGATATTAAAGTTAACCTGAGTGCAATTTTTGCTGTAAATTATCAAATCATCAATGTAGATCAGCGCAACCTTAAAAAGCAATTTTCGTAGCACTTTGCTCATGAGCTGTTGAAAACAAAGTGGAGAATTTGTCAAACCTTGGGGCAATCGTTTAAATTGATAAATGCCTTGATGGGTGACGAAAGCAGTTTTATGCTTTGAATCTTCATGTAATGGCACTTGGAAGAAGCCATTAGCAAGGTCTAAAGTTGAGAAGATCTTAGCTTGTGCATTGGTGATGTTATCAACAACATCATCAAAAACAGGAAGAGGCCATGACATTGGTAAAGTGACAGAATTCAACTTTCTGTAGTCACAAACAAATCTATATGAGCCATCACGTTTCTTGACTAGGATAATGGGAGCTGAATACATAGAAGTTGACTCCTCGATCAAATCATACTTCAGAAAATCATCTATAAGTTCTTCAGTGACTTTTTGGAGATGAGGAGATTGACGATATGGTCTACTCTTAACGGGTGGGTGGTTGCCAGTGTCAATGATATGTTGGTGCAGGTCAGTTTTACCTAAATCTGCAAGACTTGTTGAAAACATGTTTCTATTTTGTCCCAAAAATCTAAGTAGTCTGTGTCGTTGGTCTGGAGTCAGTTGTGTATTGGTCAAATCAAATCCTAACTCCTGTGCAATTTTGACATAATCCCTGGTGTCATTGTCTCTCTTCTCATTGTCGGTGTTAATGGTACTGATGAATGGTTGGTCAGAGCCGATTTCAAAAACAGAGTCTTTGTCAATGTAACTAAATTTGCCTACAACTGTACCCTTGTCAAGAACCTTTTCTTCTTGGGAGGGATTCATAAGCCTAAATGTAGCAGTCTTGCTTTTTGATTTAGAAAGAGTTCTACCGCCTGCTACTTCAGAATGAGCAGTGAGGGAAGCAATGGGTTCAATGAGGATGAGGGAATCCTCTTTGGTCTCTGATAGTCTGACCTTGAAATGAATTTCACTCTGAGGGGGGATGTAAATCTGATCTATTGTTTTTGCTAATCCACTAATCTCATGCACTGAATTGGCTATGAAATTGATATATTGCCTATCTGAGGTGCTGTTGTTGAGTATCAAGGAATGACAGCTATAATCTAAGACTGCATCATTGTCATCAAGGAAGTTCTCACCTAGTATCACTGCCTTCGGCAGTGTAGGCAGTACATAGAATCTTTGAGAAAATTCCTGATCCTCAATGACAAAATCTAACACAACTGAACCTAACACTTTATGCAATTCGCCGCCAACACCTTTTACCTGTGGAAAGGGTGAGTTTCCAAGAGTAAGGTTTTCAAAAGCTGTGCTCAGAAAAGCAGACGAAATACAACAAATGGATGCCCCTGTGTCTACTAAACAATTTGTTGTTGTTGTGCCAAATTTTGCCTGAATTACACTTTTGGCAAGGGGCGTAACTAAAGACACTGTTGGAATTTCACTTTCAAAGTTACTTTCCATACCAGACTCCATATTTGCCATGACACCTATTAGTATGTACCGTACTAAATTAAAGGATGACAAGAAATCAACAATGTATTACTTACAATATTTGAAGACTTTTTCTTCCTTTGTTGGTGTCTTTGGAGGAGTTGGTTGTCTTTAATCCAGTGTTGAGGTCAGAGGTTGATGCAGCTTGCTTGTTATTCCATCAGGTGATCACAGTTGGACATGTCCTCCAATGGGTTCTTGTAGCTGGTCGTAGTTAGTTCCTGGACTCTGTGGTTCCGAAAACGATGATTCTCCGCCAAATTATCATGGAACTGTTCTGGGTGAACAATACCTTCCAAATGACGTGCTGGTTTTCTTGGGGAATTAGTCAGCAAAGAGCCAGAGTCACAGGAGACTAATCACAATTTTATTTACAAGAACAATTAACAATTTACAATATCTTAGAAATTAACTGAGGGTGCCACAGAGAGTCGGTACACACTCTGGGCTGTGGGAGAGAGGTCTGCTTGGTAAGAGAGTCAAACCCCTTCTCTGCTTAAAACCTGCCTACAGTATGTATTTAACAAAAATTTAAACAATAGAAAGGAATGTGATTGGATGATACACGCTTGGTTGTGTCCTAAGCTAAATGGATGGCTAGACAGAGGGGAATACTAAATCCTGTTTATCCTGTTGGACTGGCACTAATCTTGTTGACATATTTACTGGATGTTTTGAATGCACCGGAAGATGCCTTCGAAATATTACCAGGTCTATCGATTAAATGGCTCAAGAAACACGAGCGTCAACGTTGTAGTATTATTCATATCGGAGCATCACCCGTTGCAACCCTCGAGGGGGTCCAAATTATTAAAAGTGACAGCATTTCTCTTACTAAGATATTCTTACCGTATAATATACATTTTATAAGGTTGATGTATAGTCTCAAAACATTTAAGCAAGACCAATTAAAGACTATTATATGATCATAATATACACTATGAGTTTATATCCAGCGCTCGGTGAAGCATTTGAAAAGATGGAAACTGTTGATGGATTTCGATTACATCAAATAAACGACATAAAACATCGAATAGAGAAGGATAAGGAGTTGAGACTTGGATTGTATAAAAAGTATCGCAGAGCCGTGAATGCTCTGGACGGAGTTGACACCACTCTTGTAGCGGCTAGCATGGGACTCGGTGTAGCGGGTATCGGTTTACTATCAACTATAATCGCCGCGCCTATCGTGCTCGGTATGGAAATAACCGCTGGAGTCTCGGGACTGGCAGGAATAGCGATAAAATTCATTTCTCGTAGGTTACAAAAGAAAGCATTAAAACACGATAGTATTCGGATACTAGCCGAAGCAAAGTTGAACAGCATTGAGGATCATATTTCTACAGCAATGGCCGATTGTAAGATATCCGAGGATGAGTTTCGTTTAGTGCTGTCGGAACTCACCAAATACAACGCAATGAAGCAGGAGATTCGATCAAAATCTCGTAAGACCAGTGGTATTAGCGAAGACGAGAAAAAAAAGTTCATAGAACAGGGGAGGCAACAAGCGCGTCAATTATTCCGTGCCAAAACCAAAGAACTGGTTGGAGATTAAAAATAGATTGTTTACTATCGTTTGATCACATTTAGACAAATGCTTACAGAAATATATAATAATGGAAAAAAATATTAAATGGAAAGAATTACCACAAGGTTTTTATTATATCAGTGATGTCAAACCAACCAAATACGGTTATCAATTGTTTCTTATCAATTTACAAAAAGAGTGTAGTTATATAGTCTGGTCTCCTAGTAAAATGAACGAAGAACTTAATAAAAAATGTTGAATATCGCTTTATCGATAAAAATAATGAAGAATATTTTTATTACCATTTAGACTCATCTAAAGCAATGATTGGCCCCAGGTATTGGTGAGCTAGAGCCAATTTAACTTAATCTCATGACTATCATTAAATCGCATAATCATTTTGGCATAAAAAATTCCTCCTGTAGTAGCAGTATAGGTAATAAATCTGGCTCCAGCGGAAGTGAGCCAGAACCCCTATTACCTATACTACTGGGTCATATAGAAAATCTCTTTGTTAGCCATAGTGCATTTTGTGCTGATTAGTTTTGAGTGTGCCAGCCTGAATTTGTCTTTTGACAATCTTTTCAATACATCTTAATTTGATGAATTAATATTAGTTAAAGTTACTGCTGGGGTAGCCTAGTGGTTAAAGTGTTTGCTCGTCACGACGAAGACCTGGGTTTGATTTCCTTTTTGGGTACAAATTACAATGTGTGAAGCCCATTTCTGGTGTCCCCTGCCACGATATTGCCGGAATATTGCTAAAAGCGGCATAAAACCAAACTCACTCACTCGGTCACGAAACTTACTGGAAAGAAATAGATAATTCTCTGACTGAATTTGGAGACTACATCACCCATCCTCACTATCAATAACCAGTTATTGAAATGTTGAATCAATGATGCATTGAAAATATGATCACAAGTATTTTGTCAAAATATGCACCAAAAAGGCAAGATTTCCGATCATAGAAACCCTGTGTGACGATATTCAATATAGCTGTTGCTATGGTTACTGTACTCCGACATAATGCTGACATTACTGGCTAGGTATTGTGTTACACTTTACAGGCCTGTTTCCAGTGCTGCTGTGATATAGCTGTGAAACAAATGTCTGATTTGAAACATGTCTGTATGTTTTACAGAAATCCTTCAAGAGGAAGGTGTCCTACGACTGGTCTATCTTCAACTGCTTGGTGATGCGAGTTCGTGGGGATGGGCGCACCTACATGATCAACATCCACATGAATCGAGCCTTCGACGTGGGCTGGAATGATCAGTATAACTATGGCCTGTTCACCAGAGGGGGGCCATACTGGCAGGTTGCCAAGGTTGGTGAGCTTTACATGTAGGATAAAGCATGTCCGAGTTGTTTTTTTAACTCCCCGTGGTTTTATCCCAAGGATAAGGGTTTAAAATTTCATAAAACCCAAGGGGAAGTGTTTTATCTTACTTATAAACCAAAAAAACCCAACTTAAAACAACATTTATTAACATTTTTATGTTTCAAACATACTTTCCATGAACCTTAGGAAACGGGCGTAAGATATCTGTTGTTGGCATACAGTACTTGAAAAAGACATTCTTAAAAGCATTGTGATTTATCAGCGCCGGATTTATCAGTCCGGATGCGACGTTAGACCCCATTTTACTTCACCTCACCCATTGGTGATCTCACAGTGCTGTGAGGTCACGCAACAAGGTTATAATACAGTGACATCATAGTGTAAAGGATTTTGCAATGCTACTCTCATTCACTGTTGGGGAAGACCGCCTCCGTGGTCTAGTGGTAGAGCGTCCGCCCGGAGAGCGGAAGGTCCGGGGTTTTGAGTGCAGCGTTAAACAACAAACCAACCAACCAACCAACCAACCTGGTAGGATTAGATGGAAATGTAGATGAAAAAGCTTCTAATACCAAACAGTCAGCATGGGTTGTATGATCCCCAGGGAGCTGAGAACACTGAAAAGCACATTGTGTAGTGTGTGTAGTATGGAGTCGTGCGCTACTTTCGTGCCTATTTTTATCAAGCGCCCTTCATTTGCCTATTGACCAGTGAAGATCCGGAGTAGAATAGGTCTTTAGCAACCAGTGCTTGCCGTAAAAGGCAACTATGCTTGTCGCAAGACTAACAGGATAGGGTGGTGAGACTCGCTGACTTGGTTGATGCATGTCATCGATCCCAATTGGGTGGATCGATGCTCATGATATCAATCACAGGATTGTCTGGTCCAGACTTGGTTATTTACAGACCGCCGTCATATAGCTTGAATATTGCTGGGATATTGCTGAGTGCGGCATAAAACAACAAAGCAACCAGCCAAATCATGTGCCTTTTGTTATCATGCGCCCCCAGGGCGGTCGGGTAGCCTAGTGGTAAAAGCGTTTGCTCGTCACGCTGAAGACTCGGGTTGATTCCCGACATGGGTACAATGTTTGAAGCCCATTTCCGGTGTCCCCCACCGTGATATTGCAGGAATATTGCTAAAAGCGGTGTAAAACCATACTCACTCACTCACTATCATGCGCCCCTCATGTACTTCCAGATTCCCTTCTCCAAGTTCTACCTGACCAGCAAGGGCCGGATCCAGGACAAGCAGGAGCCCATCCAGCTGACCAATGTGTCCACCATGGGCCTGAGTATAGGGGACGGCAATGAGGGGCCCTTCTCCCTGGAGATAGACTATATCGGACTCATGTACGATGAAAACCACTATGAAGAATTTGCTTATGAAATGTACCAAGCTAATCCAGCTCATGTCGGTACATAGGCAACTGTTGCATGCTTAGAATTGGTGAAATATTTTGAAATTACATTTACAACTTGTTTGTCATGTTTATTTTATCAAGGAGCTTGGTAATAATGGAGGGTTGTCTGTGTGACAGATTAACCTCAGGGTGTCTGTGTGACAGATTAACCTCAGGTGGCCTGTGTGACAGATTACCTCAGGTGGTCTGTGTGACAGATTAACATCAGGTGGTCTGTGTGACAGATTAACATCAGGTGGTCTGTGTGACAGATTAACATCAGGTGGTCTGTGTGACACATTAACCTCAGGGTGTCTGTGTGACAGATTAACCTCAGGTGGTCTGTGTGACACATTAACCTCAGGTGGTCTGTGTGACACATTAACCTCAGGGTGTCTTTGTGAGACAAATTAACCTCAGGCTGTCTGTGTGTGACACATTAACCTCAGGGTGTCTTTGTAACAGTTTAACCTCAGGATGTCAGTGTGAGACCAACCTCAGGTGGTCAGTGACAGTTTAACCTCAGGGTGTCTCTATCAAAATTAGGAACTGGAAAGATTCTGGAACATAAATAGTTGTATCTTTTTCCTGGCAAATTACGAACAACAAACAACAAACAACACAAATCAATGCACTCCAAATTTATTCAATGCCCTCATACATGTACAGTCCTATTGTACACTGCACACACAAGCTGTGCGTACTGCCTCTATCACCTCAAGGTGTAGCCCAGCTGTGCGTACTGCCTCTATCACCTCAATGTGTAGACAAGCTGTGCGTACTGCCTCTATCACCTCATGGTGTAGACAAGCTGTGCGTACTGCCTCTATCACCTCAAGGTGGAGACAAGCTGTGCGTACTGCCTCTATCACCTCATGGTGTAGACAAGCTGTGAGTACTGCCTCCATCACCTCATGGTGTAGACAAGCTGTGCGTACTGCCTCTATCACCTCATGGTGTAGACAAGCTGTGCGTACTGCCTCTATCACCTCATGGTGTAGACAAGCTGTGCGTACTGCCTCTATCACCTCATGGTGTAGACAAGCTGTGCGTACTGCCTCTATCACCTCATGGTGTAGACAAGCTGTGCGTACTGCCTCTATCACCTCAAGGTGTAGACAAGCAGTGCTGCTACACAACCACACCACAGCTAAGTCACCAGGATCGGTTCCTGGTAGGGCTGGGTCGAGTCCAAATTTACTACCCGGGTAACCACCCCTCTATTACCTGCCACTACACGGGTACCTGCTGTAGGTCTCAAGAGATAGATACAAAATGTCCGATTGGGAAATGTTTGACCGTACTCCTGTCAAAATGTATTAGATACAGGTATAAAATGATCTGGTCATGCATACACTGAAGTTGGAAGGAATGTGTGCATAGTCAGAAAGAAATGTGATCATTTGTCACTTATAGTGTAACCACAGACTTCTAGAAAAATTTTGCCATTAAACAATATAATCACGTGACCGGGTCTGGGTAGTCCTGTGGGTACCCGTGTCCTACTCAGTACCCGCCCGACTCGAGCACCTGAGTTACCCGTCCCAGCCCTAGTTCCTAGTACCCTAAACCCTGTTAATCCAGGCAGTGGCGTCCCACTAACATCACCCAAATTAACAAATTGTGGTTTCGGAGTAGTGTCACTTTATATACTTGAAAACATTCCAAGCAGTAACCGTCCTGGAGATGGAGTTACTGGATTAACAGGGTTCAGACTAAATAGGTTTCAGTGTTATGTCATCAGGGCATGTTGGAATGTGTCTTGCACCTCAACGTGTTCTATGTATAGAACACACGCCCCCGAGGAGAAGTAATATACTAATATACCGTCAAAACACTAGTTATTTATATTTGTTTAATATTATGTATAAAAGTGCATTACATAAATGCAAAACCCGAAGGTCTGCATTCAACCAAAAACCGAGAAGGGTTGTTCTGACTTTATTATATAATACCATCAAAATTACATTTTTAAATATTTGTTTAATATCTTAATCTTAAGAAACACTCATAAATCTAGCCAGGAAATACACACTAAACATGGTACATTGTATCTTCTAATAAACCACCTATTTTGAACCAGTTCTGTGGTCTGATGCATCATTATGGATAGGCGAGGATTTCATAAGACATTAAGGTATTATTCACGATACAGGCTGGATTCAAATACTCCAGTGCTCCACTGCTATTCACCCCTATTCACATGATGAGAAAATGACACTATTCACCCCTATTCACATGAATTGGACAGAATGATAGGAATACAATGTTTCTCTTCACAATTTTATCCATGAATTTAAAACAAAAATTAACACCGGGTCAAATAAAGTGAATAAGACAATCAGAGATTAAATTAAAGAGTTAGAATAGGTCCCTCTTAGAAGGCAACAAAATGGATTAAGAGGCCAGGTTCAGCCATGTGGTTGATTGCATGTCATCCTACCCTGACGTGGGGCGATGCTCATAATATCAGTCATTGGTTTGTCTGGCCCAGACTTGATTATTTACAAACTATACACTGATTACATGGAGCTGGTATATGGCAGTGTTAAACAACACACAAATACATCTAAATTTACCAACAACCAATTTCAAAAGTGTGAAAAGAAAGTTTCTGCAAATGAGAGCTATGCAGTTTGCAACTGGTCCATTGTTGGCTTGTGGTTTGAGCTGCTGGGTCATACTATAGGAGAGATCCGTTGTCCCACCAGCTGGTTACATATTTCAGTCATTTCAAATATACAAATGGAGAATGGGTACTTCAAATCATTTGTCTACTATTTGGCCCTTTGGGTTTGTAATGTACAAGCTGTCTAACAGCTGGCATTAAATGACTAACACAACACATATGGGTATGTCAATGCTGACACTGCATCTAGGGCATAGCGTTAATATATAATCTTGAAGAATATCATCAGAAAACCTGTTCTGAAATTACATCAATATTTGATGAAATTATATCAAGATGAAATATTTGAAATCATACACCAAAGTGATTAATTATTTAAAACAATTACTAAATCCTAAATATTTGCATAAAAACAGATAATTATCAACTTCCAACAGAAATTCTCGCCAAAAAGTATGATTTGAAATAATGTATTTGTAAGCAATATCACAGAGGCCATTATTAGCAGATTGGAAGAAAGTGTTAACAGTCTGGCACTGAAGGCATTTTGCTGTCTGTCCATTTGGCACTCTATAAATATCGGTGTGTGTCTGATTACGTCGATGCCATGAACGCCATTGTTTGAGTGAGTATGGATTTATGCCGCTTTTAGCAATATTCCAGTAATATCACAGTGGGGGACACCAGAAATGGGTAACACACATTGTACTTATGTGGGGAATCAAACCAGGTCTTCGGCATGACGAGCAAATGCTTAAACCACAAGGCTACCCCACCACCCCTCCATTGACCAACAGCAAACATATGGAGCAGACTTGAGAATAAGTACAGGAGTATGACATGTTGGACAACATACAGCAGACAATCCCACACAATCATTGATGTAATATTCCTAATAATTAATATTCATAAATTGGAAACTTTTTTTTTTTAAAAAGTGATTTTTATAAATGCAACAAAATATTGACCGGAACAATGGCCATTACATGATGCCCGATGTGAGTGAGTGAGAGAGAGAGAGGGTTTAACATTGCTTTGCATAGTATTCCTGTTATATGATGGTGTGTCAGCTTAATGTGGGAGGAAAGCCTGTAGTGATGCAGGTCTCAGACGTTTACCACTTTGGTGAAACCCACGAGGACAGGTAGGGTGCTGACAAACCTAGAAACAATCAGTGACAACCAGGACTCGAACCCACGATTATGGCCGACTGGGCCTCCAGACCAAGGTCAGGGTTTGAACTCAGAGCAGATAGTGAACACACTAACACTAGGGCCACCTTACAGCTGAATGTTTGAAGTAGTGTAGAAATGTCAAGGTATCAAACAGCTCAAGTCCTTCCATTCAGTGTGATAAACTCATCAGTAAAATTGCATAGATGTATTCAACATGAAAGAAGCAGTTATGTATCAACATATATGGTGAAGAAATATGATCAACATTCTTACGACAATGATTTAACAATGAATAACAAGCACTTAACATAAGGCCAAAACAATAAATGGCTGTGTTATGGGTAACTGACCTCAACAGATATAGGTAGGATGTTTTATAGGTCAGTAAAACAAAGCATGAAGTGTTTCCTTGATGGCAACTTAGGGCTGCTCCTAAAATGATGGTCACTGATTATACTAATTGAAATAACTTTCTTGATTCTCATGACCTGCCCTTAATAGTTTTTTTCATTATTAAGCATTGTCAAGACAAAAACATTTTTCAACTCAAATTTTGCACCAAATGCTCGCTCACTTTTTGTTTATACAATGCCATTCATCGTGTCCCATTCACTGGGGAACGTAGTCGGGGTCACCCTGGCCTCGTCCTCGTACCTTTCCCATTCTCTTTTTGTTTATACAATGCCCATTCACTGGGGAACCTAGTCGCGGTCACCCTTGGCCTCGTCCTCGTACCTTTCCCATTCCCTTTTTGTTTATACAATGCCATTCATCGTGTCCCATTCACTGGGGAACCTAGTCGCGGTCACCCTTGGCCTCGTCCTCGTACCTTTCCCATTCTCTTTTTGTTTATACATTGCCATTCATCGTGTCCCATTCACTGGGGAACCTAGTCGCGGTCACCCTGGCCTCATCCTCGTACCTTTCCCATTCTCTTTTTGTTTATACAATGCCATTCATCGTGTCCCTTTCACTGGGGAACGTAGTCGCAGTCACCCTGGCCTCGTCCTCGTACCTTTCCCATTCTCTTTTTGTTTATACAATGCCATTCATCGTGTCCCATTCACTGGGGAACCTAGTCGCGGTCACCCTGGCCTCGTCCTCGTACCTTTCCCATTCTCTTTTTGTTTATACAATGCCATTCATCGTGTCCCATTCACTGGGGAACCTAGTCGCGGTCACCCTGGCCTCATCCTCGTACCTTTCCCATTCTCTTTTTGTTTATACAATGCCATTCATCGTGTCCCTTTCACTGGGGAACGTAGTTGCAGTCACCCTGGCCTCGTCCTCGTACCTTTCCCATTCTCTTTTTGTTTATACAATGCCATTCATCGTGTCCCTTTCACTGGGGAACGTAGTCGCAGTCACCCTGGCCTCGTCCTCGTACGGCAAGCTGGGTTGGGCAGTAGGCAAAAGAGGTCCCAGAGATTAGAAGTTTTCTTTCCATATTTGTAACATATAGAAAAAAAATAACAAAACAAGAAACTTCCACCTTATCCAGTTCTGTAAAAAGTCACGAGAAACAAGATTTTAACTGTCTTACCCAAAACAACTTTTCCACGAGTTCCAAAGCTAAAGCTTCAGACACACTTGTCAGACACACTTCGGGTGCCACAATCATTGTCTCATGCATTGCATTGTTTAGGACAATCATACAACACAGTACTGTGCTGACAAACCTAGAAACATAATCGGGGCAAACCCACAATCATAGGTTTCTTGCGTGCCTAAGGGACGCAACTCTGCACAGCTAATCGCAGCGCCTTAGAAGACTGGGCCACCCGTGCCCCCAAATCTGGTTTGAAGTACCCCCTATGTGGCCTCGTTCCCCCAGATAGGCAAAATGTCTGTTGTCATGACTATATATGCCCAGCTGTCCGCGGCTGTAGCGTGGTACACAGAAATTTGTCAAATCATCACTGACCAATAAAATTCAGATATTTTGCATGCAAAGAAAGATTATAATACATCAAATAACTTACATATACATTGAACATAAGAAATCAGTTTGATGTACCAGGGGAACTACAGGAATATACTTATAAAAAATTGTCAAGCATTGATGTTGAAAAGTATGCATAATGCACATTTCAGTATCATGAGTAAGTACCGTCAAGTCTTCAGCAACCCATGCTTGCCGTAAAAGGCGACTATGCTTGTTGTAACGAGATCGGGTTCGCCAACTTGGTTGATGCATGTCATTGTATCCCAACTGTGTGGATCGATGCTCATGAGGTCAATCACTGGATTGTCTAAGTGAAGCGTTAAACAACAAACAAACAAAACAAAAGTTTTTAAAACTGCTGAATACAGTTCATTTTGCATGCAAAATTTAAATTTAAATTAAATGCCCTCAGTTCAAATCAAAACGATGTCAAAGAAAATATGTTCCACAGCTTCTATTACTGGTACAGAAACAAAGCATCTGCATCAACTCAATCTCATTTGTTCATACATGTATTTCCATCTTCATAACAAAATATCCAAATAAAATAACAGCATTCACAAAAACTAAAATGTCTATTTCTTAAACAAACACTATTCATCACACTGAGATCCTTAACAACAATAAACAACACAGCTGTTTAAGAATAAAACAACTTCAATTGTATATGCTTCAAAATGCATTAACCTTGGTCTGTGTCCTGGAACAGGGAAATCTCTTGCAATTCAGTATAAAATATTACAGCAAAAATATACAAAGCTGCCATCTGATAAATCTGAGTGAGTAGAAGCTATTCATATCAAAATAAATATTGATAGATATATACAGTAACCATGGCAACATGGACAAGAGAACACCTAGAGCTGCAACAAGTAAACAGAGTTTGAGTTTAAGCAGTATTCTAGTAACATCACAGCTAGGGACACCAGGAAGTGGATTCAAACATTGAAACTCAGGTTCCAGGCCATCTTCCCGAGGCAAGTGAGTTAACTGACTATAAAAGTCCAGTTTCCACCCTTGCCGAACTAGGCTGGTATTATGGAGTTACATTTTGGCTGGGCTAACGAGTCTATGCGTAGTCCAATCAAAATTGCGCACCGAAATCGAAATCCGGTTTGTAAAATGTCGTGCAGATTTCTGTCGAATGCAGGATTTGCAAAGCATGTGCACGGCCAAGTCGTTTTCAACAGATATTTTCCAAGTCTTTTCATGTTTTTAATCAAGGTGCTTAAGTGATTTGATGCACTTCGCTATGTAAGACCCGTTTTATCACAATATAGATCTTGATTATCAATCAGATCGTTTTGACAGGGCGCCACCATTTTGTTTGAAACAAATGCAAGTGATACGAGAGGTTGAATCTGATTGGTCTATAGGGGAGGCTTAGAAGGAACATAACTCGTAATAACCACTGGTGGCGCTACGGTCGAGCCCAGGAATTCCAGCCTAGTTCGGCAAGGGTGGAAACTGGACTTTTATAGTCAGTTAACTCCCTTGCCTCTGGAAGATGGTTCCAGGCTAGATAATCAAACACTCTAACCACTGACCTTCCCCAGTGCCCCTATTTATGTAGAAGGGGTCGTGGTCATCTGGGCACCCCAGGTGCCTTCCTGTATTCAGAAATGTGTGACCATATGGCCCGTACAGGGATGTACGAATCAAACAGCCAGAGTGAGTTGCCAGATTATCAAAGTTTTCTGAAGCCTGGTAGGATGGAACCCTCACTCTGGGTTTAAATAAAGCATTTTATCCTTTATAATCTTAATCTTGAACTTCAAACAATAACGTGTCATTTCATCAACAAATATCTCTGTGCCAACCTAAAAACGGATCTACAGTTGTCACTTGCGATAACACCTTTCATGACACCACGGATTCTGTGCTATATAGTTGCCAGTGTACATTTCCATAGACCCATGAAGATCCGTGGTAGATTAGGCCATCAGCAACCCATGCTTGCGGTAAAATTCAACTATGCTTGTCGTAAAAGGCGACAGCCTTGCTGCTTTGGTTGATGCATGTCATCGTATCCCAATTGCATGGATCGATGCTCATGATGTCAATCACTGGATTGTCTGGTTCAGACTCGATTATTTACAGACCGCTGTCATATAGCTGACATCTTGCTCAGTGTGGCGTTAAACAAAAAAAAAATCCCATAATCAAATTTTGGAACTTTAAACAGTATTTCAAACCTGTCTACTCATTAGCTTAAGGGAGTAAAAATGTATTGAATACCCAATGAAAATGATAACATGGCATTAAATACTCAATAGCTAAAAAATTATCTCGAACCCAGTGCATTGCAATGTGGTGTCCTTTTAACTCTCAGAAAACCAATAAACGTTTTAAAACGAGTTGATGTTTTAATATCAATGTTGGTTGCTATCATATAATCTCTAATCATGTTAAAATACTCCTGATTGCCTTCACTCAACTCACAACCAACTCAAATCTATTGTTTCTGTGAGTAGTAATGTTATGTGTTGCAGCCCGATACAACCACTGAATTAAAATATCTACAGTTATATCCATGTTCTACTGTATTGTGATTCATTCACTTCATCCTAACCACTTGCTAGCATCAAAGCTTAAGGGCTATTTGTCCCTTGAAATACTGATATTGGCTGTGATGATCTTCAAGTGATCACAGATGAAACTCATACAGCTATTAACAAGGGAACAACAGTCATTCTTGACTTCACAGTAAAAAAATAAGTTTCCCTCTACTCTAGCACAACCAGAACAGGGTCTGAATCTACTCTAGCACAACCAGGCCAGGGTATGAATCTACCCCAGCACAGCCAGTCCAGAGCCTGAATTTACCCTAGCGCAGCCAGAACAGGGTCTGAATCTACCCTAGCGCAGCCAGAACAGGGTCTGAATCTACTCTAGCACAACCAGAACAGGGTCTGAAACTCATACAGCTATTAACAAGGGAACAACAGCCATTCTTGACTTCACAGTAAAAAAATAAGTTTCCCTGACATCATTAACAAAACATTATTCTAATGATAACAAGCTTACATAAAAATCAATCATCTGATCCTCAGGAAATTAATTTCAAAATCATTTGGTAAATGATTTGTAATTTTAATTAGGGGATAACTTTTTCTCGTTATGTTGAACATACAAAATAAATATAACATAATTTACTTTTTGTGCGAACGATAACAGGCCTGAGATTCTGATAATTGACACTGACCAATTAATCAATTCAAATTACCAACAGATTTACACTAACCAGATCTTTCAGTATTCCATGCTTTGAAAACATAACAAGCCCAAGAACAAAATATTTCCTAGCCGAAGCAGTCCAAGCAGTGGTCAATTCCACCACTTCTGCATCATGTAATTCTGGTTTTCTTCCTTCTTGAAGCCAAACTGTGAGTAGAACTTGACGAGGGGGTCTCGACATTCTAACGACACTTTGTAACACCCGACCTTGGCACTCAACAAGGTCATGCTGTCTACAAGGCTGCAGAAGAAAAAGAATAAGATGGTACAGAATCATCAAATATCAATATTTCCACAATGACTTTCATATCATCAATCAAAATGGTGTAATAATGATACTGTGTTGTTGATCGTATAAAATTCATAATTTTCATCAAATTCTTGTTATTACATTGTCTTGTATTACAAATTATTGAGGGTATTTCTGAATATTTTATTATTAATGCATTTTGTCATTGTTATTGTCTGCATCAGCTCCTAGCCTCCGTGAACAAGATGGAGTTTGGTATGAAAGAAGCAAATGAATCTACCCCAGCACAGCCAGACCAGGGTCTGAATCTACACTAGCACAGCCAGCCCAGGGTCTGAATCTACCCCACCACAGCCAAACAGGGTCTTAATCTACCCCAGCACAGCCAGTCCAGAGCCTGAATTTACACTAGCACAGCCAGACCAGGGTCTGAATCTACCCTAGCGCAGCCAGTCCAGAGCCTGAATCTACCCTAGCGCAGCCAGAACAGGGTCTGAATCTACCCTAGCGCAGCCAGAACAGGGTCTGAATCTACTCTAGCACAACCAGGCCAGGGTCTTAATCTACCCTAGCACACCCAGAACAGAGTCTGAATCTACCCTAGCGCAGCCAGCACAGGGTCTGAATCTACCCTAGCGCAGCCAGAACAGGGTCTGAATCTACCGAAGCACAGCCAGACCAGGGTCTGAATCTACCCTAGCACACCCAGAACAGGGTCTGAATCTACCCCAGCACAGCCAGAACAGGGTCTGAATCTACCCTAGCACACCCAGAACAGGGTCTGAATCTACCCCAGCACACCCAGAACAGGGTCTGAATCTACCCTAGCACACCCAGAACAGGGTCTGAATCTACCCCAGCACAGCCAGAACAGGGTCTGAATCTACCCCAGCACAGCCAGAACAGGGTCTGAATCTACCCTAGCACAGCCAGAACAGGGTCTGATTTTACCCTAGCACAGCCAGAACTGGGTCTGAATCTACCCTAGCACAACCAGAGCAGGGTCTGAATCTACCCTAGCACAGCCAGACCAGGGTCTGATGAATCTACCCTACACAGCCAGAATAGGGTCTGAATCTACCCTAACACAGCCAGACCAGGGTCTGAATCTACCCCAGTAAACCAGAACAGGGTCTGAATCTACCCCAGCACAGCCAGAACTGGGTCTGAATCTACCCTACACAGCCAGACCAGGGTCTGAATCTACCCTGGCACAGCCAGAACAGGGTCTGAATCTACCCTGGCACAGCCAGAACAGGGTCTGAATCTACCCTAGCACAGCCAGAGCAGGGTCTGAATCTACCCTAGCACAGCCAGAGCAGGGTCTGAATCTACCCTAGCACAGCCAGACCAGGGTCTGATGAATCTACCCTACACAGCCAGAATAGGGTCTGAATCTACCCTAACACAGCCAGACCATAGCCTGAATCTACACTAGCACAGCCAGAACAGGGTCTGAATCTACCCTATGCAGCCAGAACAAGGTCTGAATCAAACTAATAGCCAGACTCTATAAACTCACTAAACCTATCAGTACTTACAGTTTTCCGAGCTGCTTCCCCCGATAGAGGTCACTGACCACAACGTCCTCCACGCGTCCCCTCTGAAACATACAGAGGACATTATTAACTGGGAGTCCAAGTCTATCTTAGTGATCGTAGCCACATGAATGCAGCCACCCTCCTGACAGGCACACACTGGACACATCCTACTCTATGAACCCTGGGTAACTCACCGCAGAGGCTTGGTGTATAAACTTGGTTTCCTTCACCAGTGTGGCGGAGGCGATGATCTGCCCAGATTCTGTGTTCTCTATCACCGTCACGTAGTAGTTCTCCGGACACTTCTTCATCTGCATGAAGCGGGCTGCAAAACACATGAGTACAAGAATGGTTAGTTTGTTGAATCTACCCTGGCACAGCCAGAACAGGGTCTGAATCTACACTAGCACAGCCAGAACAGGGTCTGAATCTACACTATCACAGCCAGAACAGGGTCTGAATCTACACTAGTACAGCCAGAACAGGGTCTGAATCTACTCTAGCACAACCAGGCCAGGGTATGAATCTACCCTAGCACAACCAGGCCAGGGTCTGAATCTACTCTAGCACAGCCAGACCACATCAGTACAATGAAGGTTAGTTTGTTGAATAAATTAACAGATACTGATATGGATGAATGGAGGGATGTATGGATGGGTGTGGATTCAAAGGTGTATGGACCTGTGGATGGACTGATGGATGGATGGATGATGACTGAAAGATCTATGGATGGATGATGAATGAATGATAGATGGATGGACTGATTGATGAATAATGAATGGAGGACCTATGGATGAACTGATGGATAAGCAAATGGTCTAGTGGATGGATGAGTATATGGACTGGTGAACTGATGGATTATTGAGCATATGGATCGATGGAATGGTGGATGAATGAGCATATGGTCTGAAGAACTGATGACCAGAGGATGGATGAGCATATGGTCTCATGACAATGTCCATAAGTATTTCATAAAACAAAGGTACTGTTTTACGTTGTTGTCATGGCCATCCATAATCATATCATTAAACAAAATGGGTGTAAATGGGTGCTACGAACCACATGGTTTGTTTGTTTGTTTGTTGTTTTACGCCGCACTCAGCAATATTCCAGCTATATGACAGCGGTCTGTAAATAATCGTGTCTGGACCAGACAATCCAGTGATTCACATCATGAACATCGATCCACACAATTGGGATCGATGACATGCATCAACCAAGTCAGTGAGCCTGACCACCCGATCTCGTGAGTCGCCTATTACGACAAGCATAGTCGCCTTTTACGACAAGCATGGGTTGCTGAAGACCTATTCTACCCCGGATCTTCACAGGTCTCGAACCACATGACAAATGTCCGACTTGAGACAAACCCTCCTACCTTCAAACTCTTCTCTGCTTATATCTCCAACTTTGGTCAGGTGTGTCAGCAGCTGTAGAAAACCTGGAAGACCAAGAATAGCGAGTTCAAAATACAAAACAGGTTTTACACAAATAATGTTGTGATGAGTATTCATATCACAGTGGTAATGAACAAAATTGCCCTAAAATATCCCTCTATAGTCAGTGTCATAGAGCACCTATGTTCACACAAGGGAATTCATTATTCATGAAAACATTAAAATTTGAGTGAGTGAGTAAGGCTTTACGCCGCTTTTAGCAAAATTCCAGCATTATCATGGCGCACATATATTCACACATTGTACCCATGTCGGGAATCGAACCCGGGTCTTCGGCGTGACTAGCCAATGCTTTAACCTCCAGGCTACCTGACTGCCCCTCACCCAGGAACTGACTCATCCCCACTCCATTGTCTATACTAGGTCTTTGTCCACACAACTGTAATTGAGTGGCATATATCTTCATCGAATTGTTATTAGTCATGTCTAACTATTTTCTATGTGATAATACATACTTCAACCAATGGCATTTGGGATCTAGGGATACAGAAGAACTGTATAGTGGGTCATCACCATAATAATATTACAGCTAAAATGGATAGAATTATCATGAAACCGCCCGCAAGTTATCAGAAATGAGCAGGCCACTGTAACTTGACAATGCCTTCATATTGCTTGACAACGGGCCAATATCACGCCCATTGTTTGGTGACGTCATATTGATGTTCAATTGGTCTGTGACGTTTCCATATTTGTAAAAGTAGGTCAGTGACATTCGTTGTGTGTTGATTGCAGTAAATGTTTCAAAACCGATATAGTTGTTTCTTTTTATTTGATATCAAATTTCATCCATTTTACCGGTAGCTAAAATAATGGTAACGCTCTTTTTCAGGGCATTATCATTTGCAGAAGCCCTTGGTCTTTTCAACTGCCCTCCTTCATCAGGCAGTTGATGGAGGACCACAGGCTTCTGCAAATGATAGTGCCCTGACAAATAGTGTTACCCTTATAGTATCTGTATGGAGAAACAGAGACTGCCCCTGGTTCAGAGCAAGGGTCGATCAAACCTCTGTTACTATGAATAGTGAACTAAACATGCTAAAGGTATATATGCATGTGAACAGCATCATCATTCTCTTCATCAACCTTTAGTCAACAAATTCAATGTCTGACAAAAATCTCAATTCCTTAAAGGGGAAGTGTACACACAAAAATCATTTTCTATCTTTTTCTAAACAAAACGCAATTTTAGAATTAGTTAGTATCTGTGTTTGAAAATATACACTCATTTTTTTCACAGTGAAAGTAGGAAGCTCACAATAGTGTGAAAATGGTATGCCGTTATGAGGCCTTCGTTTTTCGAGCTATACAGGCCTGAGTTATCCCCCTTAGATTATGACGTAATTGGTGCCAATTCAACTGGGTCCCTGTCTATTCTCAACGCAAAAGATATCAACTACCAGTTTGCGGTAAAACAACATGGCCTACGACACATTCCGGCGCAGTGGTGACTCAGCATAACACTAGACTGGCTGACATCTGAGACGCTAGAATCACACACCTGTACCTACACCACGTGAAGCGGCTCTAACAAAGCATGATGACGTCATAATGTTTATCAATTGGCACCAATGACGTCATATTGCAAGGGGCATAAGCCATGGTGTTTTTGTTGTGGAAATAGAACACTTGGTAAATGTGAAAAATATAAATCGTTTTAATGCGAAAAATATGTTAATTAATTGTGATATTTTTATATTTTTGTCTATGACAATACTAGGTTAACACTTTTAATGTGCAAAAAGTACACGAAAAATAGGTTCATTTCCTTGTGAACTTGCCCTTTAAGTTTGAAGATTGGGTTTACAGTTCGCATGCTTTCCATCCAACAAAATCTTTTTCAGTGGTTTTACATAAGTCCATAAACAGCAGCTCAACAGCATCACTATATCCAGGGCTCAGCTCCTTACAAGCTGCGTCCATACAGCTGGAATATTGCCAACTGATAAATCTGGATATATTGCCAGTCAGCCATACTATGGCATCTTGTAAAACAATAGTATCAGATAAGTTAGTGTTATCACTGTCGTAAATCAATCCGAAAAACTTGGTATCATGGCTGCAAATCATTTTGCACTCTATCGTATCATATTATATTCCTACAGGGTTTCTAAAGTTACTACAGTGAATAGTAGCACATCCTTAACTTGATTATTTCACGATGACATTATATGATAAAGAGGTCATTACCCTTGTGTGTTTTTGTATGTAAATATCAAATATTAGATTATAATGTTCATCAAAGGCTCGCATAATACAATGATTATTCCTTATACAGTCAAATCTCATTAATCTGACACTCGTTAGTCTGACAATTGGCTTTATCCAACACTAATAATGGGAACTTATTAAATCAGTGCTATTTAGACACGGTAATCCGACAGTCTCGCACTCCGACTCCGACACACCAAATTTGCAACAAATTACCGAAATCACTCATTAATCAGTCTCATTAATCCGACACAGTGATCAGCGTACTCCGTGGTCATCTGCCCGCGAGTACACAGCCCATGTTTGGAGACGAGTTGGCTGGTAGATGCATATTACAACGGCAGTGGAGATAAACTTGCTTAACAATAAACAATTAAGCTTTTAATAAACAAACCAATATTAATCACATGCTTAGATTGCCTTAATCTCATTAAAATCAGACACAAGTTCTCACTACCGCTGAGGACATCCCATTACAGGTCATGTCAGAACGACCTTTCGCCAAATTTGACTGACCAATGAAATTACTAACACGGAGTCAACATTAGCCACTAAGAAAGCAGCTTTCTTAAGCATTGCAGCACTAGTTTCAAACCAGCGACTTCCATTCAAAACTATGCTTCTAAAAGTATTTTGAATCAGCCAGTAACAGTAGTTTTGTGTTGAGCCTTCGAGGTTGCATGATTAGAAAACACATTCCTCTAACAATGTAACATAACAATATGAATATTTCTTTTTCTCTTTTTTTTCAGTCGTACAGCTCGTAACCATAGTTTTGAGTTAAGCTTTTGAGTTTTCATGATTAGAATACATATTCGGCTAACAATGTAACAATATGAATATTTCATTTTTCATTTGTTTATAACAACGTGTTTGTATTGTTATCTATCATGTAGTTGTCCGATTTTCTATCACAAACGAAAATACTCCTCCCCATTGGCCTACTTCCCATTTGGCCTACGCTTTTAGAGGATTTAATAACGGTAAGTAATCGGTTGGTTGATCACTCACTAATTACCTGTCTCCCCCAGAGTGATGAAAATGAACCAGTCCAACAACAGAGAAATACAAGCTAACAGAATCTTTTTAATGTAATATAATAAGGATTCCTACTGCATCTGCTAATGCCAAGAAAGATATTTCTCCTTGCTGGTGTCTGTCTCGGAGTCTGGGCAGCTGACCATCGAGGTACACATATTTTCTCTTCCGCGATGGAGGCTTGGCACCATGGGCCAGCTGGGCTGGATGTCTGGTGTGGCTAGCTTCAAGTGAGTGAGTGAGCATGGTTTTACCCCGCTTTTAGCAATATTTCAGCAATATCACGGCGGGGACACCAGAAATGGGCTTCACACAATGTACCCATGTCGGGAATCGAACCCGGGTCTTCGGCGTGACGAGCGAACGCTTTAACCACTAGGCTACCCGACCGCCCCTAGCTTCAAGTGATTTCAAGACATCCAGGAAGCCGAACATTGTTGGATGGGCAGAGTTCATCTTGGCATTCAAGTGGCTGTGCCAACCTTCCAGATGATTATCAGTTCTTGGACCAACATTGTCATGGTGACTCCAGATTTCAACACCAAATCTAGCATCATCCCCAACCCAGTTTGACAGGACATAATCATTGAACAGTTGAAATGCAGGACTCTCAACCTTAGCCTGTTCTAAAGCCTCAATAGCTTCGAACCATACGTCCTGAACATCAGCGGGAGGCAAAAGAGGCAGAGCAGCAGCTCGTCTCACCCACTGCTTGATGTCGGCACTCTGCTTGTAGAGTCGCACTAGTCCTAAGTCCTAAGTCCTAAGATAACCGTTAGTACTTTTATACTATGAATACTAAGAAAAATGTTTTTTTATTAAATTAACTTCGTTATCATTACCCGTATACAATGGTATGTGATAAAAGAAATAAAATCAATAATAGTTAATCCTATTGACTAAATACACAACAGGCAAAGAAGCCAGTTATACACAATCCTTATGAACATAAGAAAAGGATTAATTAATTGTGAGACCCGTGAAGATTCCGGGGTAGAATAGGTCTTCAGCAACCCATACTTGCTGTAAAAGGTGACTATGCTTGTCGTAAAAGGCGACTAATGGGATCGGGTGGTTCAGGCTCGCTGACTTGGTTGATGCATGTCATCGATCCCAATTGCGTGGATCGATGCTCATGATATTAATCACTGGATTGTCTGGTCCAGACTCGATTATTTACAGACGGCCGTCATATAGCTGGAATATTGCTGAGTGCGGCGTAAAACAACAAACCAACCAACCAACCAATTGTGAGATAGTTACATTAACCAACTTCACAGAAGAACCTGTGTGAAATAACAGGAGCTAAGTAAGCTCAAACCAAACCATTATTGTCAATAGGGGTGTAGGTTGTTTAAAATAATCTGTGGTAGGCTAAATGGGAAAGGTCATTTCTGTTTCTTTAGGCCATATGGGACGTAGGCCAACAGGGGATGCACCCTTAATTTCGTTTATCCAATATACTCGTAAATCTGACATAATTATCTGCAACCGACCATGTCAGATTAACGGGACTTAACTGTATATGATAATAACAATACGAAAACCCACTTGGCTAATAAACTAGGGTAACCAGGGTAACCAGCGACTGAAAGCATGACCCACCTGATCAGGATACGATTACACACAGTCAGATATGTCACCGAGTCGGATCCGCTTAGTGGGCTCTTATGACAAGGGTGATATACCAGGGATCTGTTCTCCCCCAGAGGGGGTTTGACCAACATTATCAAAT